GATGTAGTAAATGGGAACATTTAATTGATAGCAACCTAAGGGTTGAGTTGTGGAGCACTCGGGTACGTGGCCTTTACGATCAGTAAAGAGAGTTTAAATTAAACGGATAGGCCAGGGCGGGACGATTTGTGAAGGACACTCACGCGGTCTGGTTTTGGCATTTTCGTCAGTCAATGGACACCTTCTCACTCTCACCATAGCCGAGGTCGCACTCTTGTTGTAAGCCTATGCACCTTGCTGTGTCGCCACTATTTTCGCTGCTTCACTTCGCGAAGTGAAGCCAGCGCAGGCCCTTTGGGAACTCTGTCTCTCCACGTGGACTGCAATCCACGCTGCACCCCGGCACAAGTGGACCTTGTGCCATGCCTTCCCTTCATGGGAGACCTCGGAGCCCAGCTGAACCAGATCTCGGAATAGCTGGCGTAGTTCTCCGCATCTGTAGACGCCAGATTGAAGATCTTGGAGCAACCTCAAGCTGCATTGGCCGCCCCCGGTGGATCTGCCGCGGGGGGGCATTTTGGTGGAGCTACAGGAGCCGCAGCGAACCAGCCCAACCAAGAGGCGGAGCTGCTGGAACGCTACCAATCAGTGTGCGTCGCATTGACAGGCTGCCTGCCGGATCGCCCTTTGCAAGAGTATTGTTGTGACTCAGCCTTGGGGCTTTCGCATTGGGAGTCCAATCCAGTTGGCAGACCTCCGTGGGTGCGGGGTGCGGGCAAGCATTTCAATCTCCTCGACACTTGCTACGGTCAACGATTGGCTAAAGATCTGGGCGAGAATAGCCCTTTCTTTCACGAAGTCACCGGGTGGGCGCCTGTGGCGAGCTACTTGTTTGACGTGGTGGCACAGTTGTGTTTGATTGTCGGGCACCCCAACTTCCCCCACCCCCAGAGAGCGTAGTTGGTGGGCGTGACCAAGGCTTTGCAACAGACACTGGACGCGGCGCTGGCCCGTTTGAGGGTCCACGAGTACCGTGCTCAGTTCGATCGCCACGGCATTCCAGCCGCAGCAGGATTCCAGGCTGCGCTCGCATTGGAAGGTCAGCAATTGGCGTACAGGCCCGCAATCGCCGTCCAGTACGACAAGCAATTGCTCGAGTCCGTTCGCAAAGCCCACGGGAAGCTTATCGCCGACGGATCCACCAAAACCACGGGAAATCGTTCGCGGGGTGGAGATCACAGCAGCAAGCGCCAAGGCAATCCGACTGGCGGCAAGGGCAGGGGTAGCTCCAACGGTTCCAACAAAGGGGGCAACGCCTAGCCCCCCCTTGGATACCGGCCTCGCGAGAATGCGGGGACGGGGTAACTGGCGACGCAGGGCAGGTCGCCGGGTAGCGGGCACGTCAGGCGCGTGGGGCGTCCCTGGCGCGTCATCTTTGACAGGTGCCGCGACTTCAATCAATGCCCAGTCACGCTGGACATTCGGTACTGTCGCGCACCCGATACCGACAACTGCGGTCCCTGTACCGCAAGTACAACGTCAACCCGAGAGACTTCCCGACGTGTCGAGTCCGGGCAGCCCTACCAGTATGGAGACGGATGACATCAGACCTTCGGGTTCTGAGCTGGATCCGGGACGGTGTCCCCATCTCATGGCAGTCCGGACCACCGAGACCGTTCCATCACGGGAATTCTGTCATGCAAGGGGAACATCGGACGGCTTGGGAAGACCAGATTCTACCACGCTGCATCCGAATTGGGGCTCTCAGACCAGCATCATGCCAGGATTACGTCAGCAGAGCCTTCCTAATACCGAAACGGGACGGGGGTTATCGCTTAGTGATCGACCTCCGACATCTCAACGCGCATTGTCGGGTGCCGACAACCCGTTTCGAGACGCTGGCGACACTCTCCGGCTGGATGGAACCGGAGAGTTGGATGATTGCTTGGGATTTCCGAGACGCCTACATGCATCTGAGACTACAATCAGACTTCATTAAGTACGTAACAATTCAAGTGAATGGCGAGTATTGGGAGGTACCCACCCTTTCCTTCGGGTGGTGCGGGAGTCCGTTTTACTTCACAAAACTACTCCGGCCTTTAGTCACCTTCCTCAGGGCACCGCAGGACAGCATATCGTGTCCTCCGTTGAATTTCCCCTCCCTTCGCCAATTGTGGGAGGCGAACTACTTCATCAAAATCCTGCCCTATTTGGACGACTTCCTAGGGGCAGGAAGCGACAGGCGGAATTTGCGAGCCTGGGGTGTCCTAGTGAGGGCGCTCCTAAGCGACTTAGGATTGGAGATCAAAGACTCCAAATCCATCTGGGAACCAGTGACTTCGAAGGTTCACCTCGGCCTGGTTGTGGACTCATGGCGGGCCATGTTCCTTTGCCCGCCGGACTCCTTGAGAGTCCTCCAACAGTTGGCGAAGGACATCATCGTCAACAGCACCTTGAATGCACAATTGGTCACGGCCAGGAAGGTGGCCCAATTCTCTGCAAGGCGAACGCTTTGGCCCCGGCGATTGCCCCAGCCCAGTTTTTCCTGCGCGAGCTCTTCTCCAGTCTACGGAACAAACAGAGCTGGAGCTCCCCAGTGCGCCTCAGTCGCGAGGCATTGGCGGATCTCCGTTGGTGGACGCAAGTTCCAGACAGGTGGCAGGGCAGAGCCTTTCTACACTAACCAACATCAGTATCGATGGCGACCGACGCCTCGGATTTTGGATGGGGCGCCGCCTTGGAGGATCCACATTGCCTAACCTCGGCCCAGCCCCTGATAGCGCGAGGCTTCTGGATGGCGCAGGAGAGGACTTGGCATATCAACTACAAAGAGCTGGAAGCGATCCGTTTGGGGATCAAGTGTTTCTTGCGGAACTTGACCAACCAAACAGTGCATCTACAAACAGACAGCCAGACAGTCTGCTGCATTTTGGAAAAATGGCGCTTGAGGGCACAACCTCTGCACCGCGAGCTGCGCAAAATGTGGTGGCTGCTGGACACACATCGCATTACGGTGCAGCCCCAATGGATTTCAACAACAGAGAACGCGATTGCAGACGCGCTCAACCGGGAGACGGACAAGGAGGACTGGCGCCTATCCCCACGTGGTTTTGGCGCCTAGATCTGCACTGGGGCCCACACAATATCGACCGCTTTGCCAGCTGCCTCAACCGCCAACTCGAACGGTTCAACTCAAGGTGGGGCGACGTAGGGTCAGAGGGCGTGGATGCATTCGCCCAGCACAACTGGCCCGAGGAGAACAATTGGTGCAATCCCCCCTGGTCTCTGCTACCTCGCGTGGTTCAGCTCCTTCACGATCTTCCGCGCGTCCAAGCCACCGTTCTCGCCCCGCATTGGCCGGGCGCGGTTTGGTACCGACCATTGAAGGCGCTTTCCAACGATTCTTGGATTCTGCCTCGATCTCCGACCCTCTTTCTACCGGGCCGGGAGGCGCAGGTGCCTCAGGGAGCAGCGCGGTGGCACGTCGAGGCTTTTCGAATAGACAAGGCGCTGGCGACCCACCCCTCACGCCATTGATCCAGCCAGGCACACCGCTGCCGCTCGCCGCCTCTGGCCTCCTCGATCAAGACGATGAGCAGAGCATAGTCGAGGCCCTCCTTTCCTCGAATGCTCCCTCAGGCCGCCGCTCCACCTCCTCTCCATCACATGACCTACAAGTAGGGCCTGAAGGCAATTCAGATGGGAGAGGCTCAGCTGGACCAAGTTTGATTGATTGCATGCAGATGTTAGCAGGGATTGAACACTTTGTTTGTATGTCTGATGTTTGTAGACAATTTCATTTCTGGCACACACCTTTGGTCTTTTGTGCCTGGGTGGGAGAGGACTGCAGTGTACATTTAAAAAGGACAATCAAACGGACAACTTAACTGATGTATAATCAAATCCTTTTAATGTCATGCCCCGGGGTCCGGTTGACTCCCCGTTTCGTCCGACCGTGCGCCCAAGGGAGCTTCCAAGCTCCCGTATCATTGAGGGTGTCCGAAACAAGAAGGGATCTTCACGGAAAAGACAGAGCGGCTAACTGGGTGCCCTGCCTCCAGCTCGTTCCCAGACCGCCCGCACCGGGACAGCTTCACCAGTGGCGAGCCAGCCAGCGACCATCAACACCAGGCCGCCCAGGGCACCCCAGCTCTGAACGGCATCCACCCGTTGCCAGCCGCGAGCATCCCGCTCCCTCTGGCGGCGTGACTAATCCCGGGGTGTGCCAGAATGCTCGGCACCGGGCCCGGACTGCACAGGGCCCCCACCACGGGCTCTGGCCCATTTGGCGGGAGAGTTTCGCCCGACGGGGACCTGCTCCTGTTGCTGTCGCCCCCCGCCCCCTGCGCACGCACGCCGGGGCTGGGGCCCGCCCTCAAAAGCCGCCCGCCGGTCTGCCCGCGGCTCCCGGCGCGGCGGTCGAGGCATGCAGGAAGGCCAGCGGTCCTCTCCAGGTGGGGGCGCGCCCCCCGCCATTCCAGACCTTCCCGCGTTTTTTTCCCCTCTCGCCACCGCCACCGCCCGGGCCCCTCGCCCCCGGCCATCGCGCCCGGCAGCCGATCGCGCGGATCGATCGGAAGCCCCGGCGGTGCTCGCGATGCGATCGGCGCTATCGGCGCGGCCGGCGGGCGGCCACGCGGGGGTTTGCGACAAAGCCGGGCGGGCGTGGAGGGTCAGAAGCCGTCCAGCGACTCCCCATGCCCAACACTGCCCGAGGATGGCTCATGCCGAGCGCTCTTCGCAGCCCGCGCGACCCGATACCCGCCCGAGGCTTGGCACGCGCATCGCCCCTGGTTTCCCCGATCCTATGGATCAGGGTCGTCGCGAAGCGGCGGCCGACGCCGTTTACTCCCCCCGGGGCGGCCGGCATGGGACGCCGCGTGGGCGCCGCATGGGTCCGCATGACGTCGCCCTGAGCCTTGGCGGTGGCCTGGCGGTTCGCAGGGGGCTCTCTGCGCGCGGACGAGCGCACAGACAGCATCTGCTCCGACGGGGGCGGTGTCGTCGAGGACTTCCCTGGTTTCTCGTCCGGTCAGCGGGGCGCCGGCCCCAGGGAGAGGATGGGAGATCTGGTGGCCGCCGCAGGTGAGGGGGATGGCCGGCGGGGCGGAAAGGCCCCGGGGGGGTGACGATCGCATCGATGGGGCTTGGGGGGTGGAGGCGCGGGTGAACGCGACGGCTGGAGGTAGGGGCGCGGGGAAGCGGCGCCCAAGCGGCCGGCGGGGCACGCTGCGGAAAAAGAAAAAAAGCGCTGGATTGGCGGGCATTGCGGCAGAGGGCCGGGGCGGCTGAGGAAGGGTGTTGTCTGAAATTCGGGACGCGGGATCGAGGGCTTGGGCGCGGGGGGGGGGGGTGCGAGTCGCCTTCCTGTTTGGGGGAGAGCCTCCGACGCGGTTTGACCGGGAGGGTTGCGGCTCATGCGACCTCGAGATTCAATCCATTGAACATAAATTCACGCGGTCCTGGGCCGCTTGGCCGAGGGCGGCATCGCGGGCTCATTCCACCGCCCGCGACTGATTTTGCTTCCGGCTGATTGTGGCAGGCCCCTCGAGCGCGAGCCAGATGCAGCTCAGGAGCAACAGCGGCGGTGGGCAAGGCCTGACCAACGGGAGCTGCGGCGGGCATCAGTCCAGCGCTGCCAACGGCAGCTGTCGATTCGACAGCTCCCTAAACACACTGACCAAGAAGTTTATCGACCTCATAGCCCGCGCGAAAGACGGGATCCTTGACCTCAAGACTGCCGAAAAGGAGTTGCAGGTGAATTGCACTGATGCTGGGGGCTCTCTGCTGGACGTCCTTCAATGCAGTTGGTTGTTGGGGATTACGGTGCACTACCTGCCAGAAGGCTCACGACTTTGGCAGAAGGACTATGGCACTGATTGGATGCCAGTTTAGCTGTGTGTCAGCCGGTCGGGTGATCCCCTGGTCCTGAAGCAAGGGTGAAAGAAACATACCCATACCTCCCCTGTGGTTTGGAAGTGGTTGCCCACAGCATGACCCGTATGACCCCTTCCATAGACAATGTTGATGTGGGGACCCTACCCCTCTGCCAATGTACGGCTGCGTCATGCTCACATCCTTCTGCTTGTGGGCTGAACGAAGGTCAAGAAGCGCCGAATATACGACATCACCAATGTCCTTGAAGGCGTGGGTCTGATCGAGAAGGCCAGCAAGAACAAGGTGCAATGGAAAGGGACAGCACTGCCCCACAGCGAGGAGAGTCAGAACAACTTGGCAGCCCTTAGGCATGATGTCAATGAGATCCGGGTGCGTCCTGATTTTCATACCAAATCGCCCTGCCCAGCACCTGCCCTTGTGGCAGCCACCATATATTCCAGTCGACCTGGGGATAAGAGCGCGCCTGCAACTTTGCGGCCCTTCCCTCCTTTTGCTCTACTTTACCAGGCAACCCGCAAATGTCGCTGGGAAACACATTGCTTCCTGCCTAATGTGTTTTCAACGTTTCTTGATCATTAGCATGAGAACCTTCTGCACATTTCTGGTACTATGAGGCTGCGTGAACAATTGCATACAGTAGATGCATGCCACTTCTGCTGTGGCACTATGGGTTTGTGTGAGGATGCTGTTGTTCTTCAGTCAACGTGTTTGTTGTGTTTGCAGTTTGTCTATAGATCCACCTGTGAATGCATTCTCAAGTTCCATTGATCCGTTTATTCATCTACAGGAGCTGGATAAGACGCTAGACGAGCAGATAGCCTACATGCGTGAGTCCCTTGCACGCCTTACAGAGGACCCTTACTCCCAGGCACGATTTTATGTCACAGAGGATGACATAGCCAGCTTGCCTTGCTTTGGAAATGACAGCATCTTTGCAGTGAAGGCCCCTCGAGGGACTACCTTGGAAGTGCCTGACCCAACAGACAATTCTGAATGGCCAAACCAGCCAAGATACAGGTGCGTCACAGGGCAGTCCATCGAACCTCTATTACAGGACTCGTCAGAATTAGCAGTTGCAGCACCAGTATGTAAAGCAAGTTGGCAGTCAAGCAGGACTGACTTCTTACAACGTTCAGCACAAGTGAGTGCTGTGTCGTCCTCCTCACCCAGGATCACTACTTTCAACATGAAGGAAAACAAAACTTGAACCACACAATCTGCACTGGAATGGGCAATTGCCCTTTCCTGTGCCAGAGTTGTGCAATGGGCGTTGTTCGAGCCTTCATCCACCATGGATCCCACCCATGCGCACATAAGCCAGCTCCATCACACCAGCCATGCCGATGGGCTGACGGGCATATAGCCATTCAAATGTGTCTCAAAGTGAATGTGAAATACGAAGCACTGGTGATGGCATGTGTTTGTTCCACACTTAAGCGATCATTTTGCAGGCGTTCTGTATTTACCTCAATATTTGCCTGGCAAAAGAACAGCCCAACAACAACAGAATGTTCAGGGTCATGGGGATTTGTATCGTCATGTGCCAGCCGATGCATTGTCCAGAATTTCGACCTCGCCTTTATTGCCAATCACAGCATTTGAAACTTTAAACCAGTTGTCACTTGTACGACAATGGTGACAGTCAAACATGCACACAGATGTGGATCGACACTTGTTGTACATTGGCATTGTCTGAGAAACAATTGGGCCAGACATCAAGTGCATGCAGATGTATCAACCCACTCAGGTTTGAAACCAACACTGGCAGGAAACAAACTACCATACGCTCACATTCCATATGTGCTTGCTTGCTGGGCATCCATGATCTTACAAGACTCTGCTGATGTAGTATAATGGCTGCCAACTTCTACAAGGGCATGCTTTCTTTGATTCGGTATTCCCTGCTGGGGATATGAGCACTTGGGAAGATTGCATTGATCAAAGAGTGCATGAATCCACATTGATCACTTGATCAAACTGTGACGAAATCACAGCTCTTCAGCCTATTGCAGAGCTGCCCTGGTGGCATGTTTTGCCAACTTGGGCGTCCATGTGATTCCTTGGGTTTGCAGGATACTGATGCAGAGTACGAGTGGAGCAATTGACGTGTATCTTGTTCGACGACCGGACGAACAACAATCAGAGAATAGGAGTGCTGAAAACGGCGAAAGGGTGGGACCAAGCAGTGCCAAACCAGGTGCCAGGGTGCAAGCATTTGTATTTACCATCAGATTTCTGCACCATGGGCAATAGGTCACAGTAGCCTGTGCTTGCCTTGTTTTAGGTCAACCTGCCCATTGTGGGGCTCGTCGTGCGGTAGAACGTGTATTTGCTGTGGTGTTAGAAGGAACACCCTACCGGAAGTCGCCACCCAGCTCCAACCAGATTCATGCTTTGAAAAATCATGCCTGCGGCTCCAAACATCAAAAACAGAATTTCTCACTGCACTACACGGAGCTGTACTATATACCTTTGACATTTAGGTTGGTGGCAGGGATGTTGCAGCTCTGAGCAATTGTTGAGAATGAACAGTGTGGCTATTATGGGCTGGACAACAATTACTCCATCTCCATCAGTGCAGATGTCTTTTTGTTGGTCGTCGTGGATCATCACAGAGCGCACAACATCATATCACACCACCTCAAGGTATGGGGTGCAAATTCATGAAACTGCACATCCCTTTGACTGCACCTGCTGCGTTGCCTCCAGGAGACCTGGGCAACGGTGTTGCCACCAGCAGCCATTCCCCTCTGCAGAAACTGGAAGCCGTGGAGTTCGAGTCGGAGCTGTGGTACAGCCACTATGGCGATATATCCGCCACAGACCTTTACAAAGAGGAGTGCCCCACAGATGCCATGGACGATGAAGCCCCCAGAATGACAGAAAATGGGGGAGAGATCAAGCAGGAGTGATATCTGACATGGGCGGCCCAAACCGCTGGGCCGTCGGCATGCACATCAAGATGGGCGTTTCAAGATGGGCGTTTTTGGTAGATAGGTGCTCACTGTGTAAATTGACAGCCCGGAAAGTGCCTGATGTAGATTATGTCCTGTTGGGCACGCATACAGATGCTGGTGGGGTGTATTGTGCCTGGATTATTTGTTCCCCAGCAGTCCACGCTGTTCTTGGGCGCAGTAGAGTTTCCAGTTCAGTAGGTTTGCACAAAACGACTCGGGTGGCTGGGTGTTGGGCTGTGAGAGATGGTGTGATCCTGTGGTGAAGGCCAGAACTCAGCGTTTCCTATGGGCTCTGAAGGAAATGATAGCTGGCAACTCAGGCCCTTCGAGACAACAGTGCCGCTGCGGCTGTCCTTGATCTGGAGCTTTGCAGTCCCAAGCTGGTTGTCCCCATGTCTTGACATGGCTGGACGAGCAGCAGCACGTTTGCAAACGTGTCGAGTGCCCGACGTTGCAGGCCCAGACCATTTTATTCTGCATCTCTCAAGGCTGGGAAAGCTAAACATGTTCTTGCTGTCGAACCTGCGGCAGCTGGGAGGGATCTCTGTCCAATAAGACTTCCATTCTTTTCTTTCTTCAGGGGGAGGGATGGACGTGGGGTGCAGGGTGCGAGAGGGCGGATCGGCGCGTTTCCACACGCACGTGCGACGATAGTGTCGACCAAGGGACCATTTTCCGTCGCACAGAGGGGTGTCATTGATGCAGCGCAGTATTCTATTTCGTACCGGCTGGGGGTCTGAATGGACTGGCGAGATTCGACGAAAGAGGTTCTCATGTTTTAAACGGATCGAGGCGACAGGAAGGGGGCTGGCTGACGACATTGCCGTTTGCACTGCAGGCCACTCCGGTGGTCCCGAATGAGAGTGCCATGAAAGCAGAGGCCGCTGAATCAAGAATCGGGGATTTTGTCTGCGAGTTGCGATTGGTCGGCAGGAAACGCGTCCCGCTGCACAGGTTGGATCGCCAGATCTCGTGCCGCGTGCACATTCCCCTGCATCTGATGCGAGCCTCTAACGAAAAGGGCTGCACCGACAAACCCATCAAGCGCAATTCCCCTGTCCGACGACTACCTCTCTACTGCAATTCAACCCTGCGCCGCCTTTGCATGGCCCAACGAGACCTTTGTCTTTTCAACACCTCCGCTCAAAACAACATGAATCTCATTGAATACGACACTAGAGCTTGTGGATGTACATTGGGAGGCCCAGCTATCCGTATGCTGGCCGTACTTGCGTTCTGCGTGGGTGCTGTGAGAAATCTATCGCTGGAGTTTGGCTGAAAGAGGCAGAAACGGCACTGAAATGCTGTTCAGCGCTTACGAAGCGGCTGCCACTATCCATTCGTCGAGCTGCGCATCATCCTGGCCCGCATTCCAAATAGGAATAGGATCCCCTGCACTCCTAACTCCCAGGCAGGATTGACTGCAGCAGCTCGTCTGGAGGGCGGGATTCCTTGGCCGGCTGGCTGCCCTGGCCACTGGGTATCTCCACCACGACGTTACGTGGTCCCGACTGCGCCGGGGCGGTCGTTGGCCTCCTCTCGTCGCCCCTGACTATGCCGACCATGGGGTTGGTGGCCAGGAGGGCGCTGGAGCAGGGCAGTCGGACGGTGGCGCTGAGGGTGCTGCGGTGGAGGCGGTAGGTGTGCATGTTGGCGTCGGCCCACATGGACACGGCCGTGCAAAAGGCGCTCGGGCTTGTGGTGCGTGCTCCGCTCGCAGGCCTCCTGCGTCCCAGCGTCTCGAGCTGTGGAGGCGAGGACAAGAAACAGTATAAAAAATGGCGCAGATTGTTGGAAATGGCGTGTGCGTGTGAATAAAAGGAAATTGTATGCAGATCAAATAGTACTTTGTTTAAAATACCGATTTTGCACACTGCAAGTCCCGTTGAAGTGTGCTGAGTTTCTGCAAATCGGATGCCAGTAATGTATCATGTGTCAGAAAAAGACCAACTTGATGGGCTTCACCCTTCACGGTCTGTTTAAATTTAGATACCCATTTACAAATATTCATTAATTCATTTATTTCGTTTACTTCAACTTTATTTACTTTTGGAAGGCGCACGTTTATCTTATCCGAAGGATGCAAGTTATCGCGCCCATCTTTTCAATGAACAACAATTATCCACACACTTGTCAAATGACTGCGAAATAAGTACTGAGCCATAGAAACTGTAAATACTGAATCACAGTTACTGAATTTGAGTGCGACGCACGGGCTGCCTGTTTTGCTGCTTCCATTGGCCCGCAGCAGGCCAGCGGGTGCGAAATGCCTCTCAACGGCACAAGCCGACTAACCCACTTCACACTTCTGGGCGATGATCGCACGGAACGATAAATGTACGGCCATCGTGCGGCTATCCATCCAGCCCCCTCACCTTGCTCACAAGAAGGCACCCCTCGCCCCAAAGCTCCGCGAGCCTCCTCAACTCCAGCTCCCAATCCCGGCGCTCGCGCCGGCCGCCTTGGTCCCACGGGACCGACAGCGGCCGAGCGCCCTCGGGCCCCCCGGTACGGTTCCCCGGCCAGGAGTCCCTGCGGCCGGGCGGGGCGGACTGCAGGCGGCCCGCCACCGTCCTCGACAGGAACGTCGACGCCGGCAGCCTGCCGTGGACCCGCTGGCCCGCGGAGCGGGGCGGTTGGCCCAGTTGACCGCGGTCAACGCCGCGGGCGGCGCGTGCCGGCGACGGCGGGCTGTTACGCCACGCGGCGAGGCACGCCAGGTGGCGTTGAAAGGGCGTCCCGGGCCCACCGCCGTCGGAATCACCCCCGCTCGTGTCGCAGGCCGGATCCACGGGCCCTGAGCCCGGGTCCCTGGGGCCCATGTCCTGGATTGCCCGAAGCTTGGCCCTGCGCGGAAGCGGCGCCGTTCGGCGCGCCCCTTCCGGCATGCGGGCCTTAAGGAGCCCTTGTCGGATTTCCCCAGATCGGCGCGCCGACGGCTGCCAATGGCCGTCCAGCGGCTGTGCGCCGGCGGAGTGCCCTCGGAACCTCCTGCCGCGAACCCCAAGGCCCGCCGCCATTTCATCGCACCGCAGGAACGCCGCGCCCCCGAGCGCCACACCACTTAGCGCGACCTCCGCCCGGCCGCCCCACTCCTGTCCCACGTAAGACCGACCCCCCAGCTGCGGGCTCTCCAAGGCGTGAGAAGGTCCAGGCGCGCCATCTGGCCCCCATTCGCCCTTCTCGCCGTCGCCCGCCTTGTGGATCGCGAGCTTGCCGCCCCTGTCCAGCTCTCTCGGGCTCAAGCGTTCCGCATCGGGCACTGCGCCAGCCAGCAGTGTTGCCAGCCTGACGGCCAACGAGACTTTCTTCCACCTGCTGCACCCTCGGGCCCCAGATGCCGCCGGCTGGTCGGCCGTCCCGCCTGATGGCGACTCACCCGCGGACTTGACGGCCACCCCGCTTGCTTTCTTCCCGCCTTCCCGCCGCCGCCAGGCTCCATGCTGGTTTCCTTTGTACTTCCTTTGAGCCTGTGCGCCCCGCCCTTGCTTGGGCGGCTGCGGCGCGGAGCGCCTCTTCGCCTTCTTCTGCACCTCTTCCTTTCGCCTTTCCGCGTCTTGAACTTTTGGCTCCGCGGAGGCAGCCGTCGTGGGCACCTCATCGTCGCGCTCGCCACCTCCGTAATCGAAGGACTCTACCTCTGCCCACAGTTTCCTCAACCGCGCTTCTCTCCTCAGCCTCTGCCTTGTGATGAACCCCCGGTAGAATTTCTGCAGCCAGTGATTTTCTTAATCACTGTGCCGCTGAGTTGCAGGCGTGCGCGCCACGCAAAGACAAACCGTTGGTAAGGAGCCTCTGGATCAATGCGCATGGGCGATGTGCGTGTCTTGCCCATTTAGTGACGTAAGGGGCACAGCAGACGCCCGGACAAGCCCCCCCTGGAACCAATTTGGGCAAAGCCTGCTCATGACTGCTTGCCTTTTCAGCGCTTCTGCTTGTTGAACGTGGACGTGCACACAACAGACGACTTTCTCATCAATTAGATATAGCCAGCACTGGGGGCGGTGCAGAGCAAGAGATAGATTTAATGTCCAGATCGGTAGATTGGGGTTCAAATTGATGTCCTACCTCATCCTTAATAGTGCAACGGCTGGACAACAACAGCTGGAATATTTCAGCCATCCTTTGTGGAAAGGTTTCTCTGAGTAATGGCAGCATGCTCTCTTGAAGCTGTTTCCATGAATTTGCGTCGAGTCTTGAATTGCTGTGTTCTTCTTGCCTCCTCTCGCTTCAAAATTCTTTCGTGAACTAAGAATCGTACCTGAATGAGCGTGGCAGCTTTCCATTCGTTATCGAACTTGTTAACGAATAAATCGAAAAATTGCGCCTTCTTGTTGTCTTCCTGTGTGGCATCGTGATCTCCATCAGATGCAAAACAAAGTTGTGCAATCACATGTCGTACTCTGCAGTGGCTGCTGTACGCGAAGGATGGAGACTGGCTGACAGACGCGTGCAAGAAAATGCGTGCATGTAGTGAGACAGTCCATTTCGGTGTCCCAACAGTTGACGCCCAGTAGGTATCAATTGGTGAAGTTCGCTGCCATTTCAAATGCGCACAGAAGAGGTTGTACTATCATCTTGTTTGCGCCAAGAACAAATTGTAACTTTTTTATAGACATCTATCGCTGATAGACATGTCTATCCAATGTGCATTGGTTTGAACCCCCGGTACCTGCCTTCGTTTTGCCTCATGCCGTTTGGCTTTGTACTCCTTTTTCTTCAGCTCTTCCTGAGAACATCGCCAATGCCCCAATTATGCTTTCCATCCGGCCTTAATTCAGTGCGCAATATAGTTGCATGAAGCCGGATAATTCAAGTAAGAATGCATTCGTATCAACGAACCTTTAAACTTTACAAAGATCGTTGACTATGCTCGCAAATATGATATTTGATAACGGTTCTGGTCACTATATATTATTGGATAGTGTTAAGACTTCCTCAATATCCCATGTGTT